GGCCGTCGTGGGGAGTACTGCTGGTCCGGAGCGAGCGAGCCCGGGATTCAGGGTCACCGAATGCCAGGTTTGGGGAGAGCTGCGCCGCGCTCCTGGGCCATCTGCAGTCCTGGGGCCTGCGCCAGACGCCTTCGTCATCCCCGAACTACGGCTGCTCGCTCCCTCCCTCCCGGCCCTTTCCCCCTTAAACTCTGTGGCGCAGTTTGGAGCTGCAGGCTCGGGGTTGGGGGGTGGGGGGTGGGGGGGGAAACCCTTCTCATGATGGACATCTGCGGGAGCAAATGGAGAGCTAGAGTAGGGATTTGGGCAGGCCAATGGAGAGCTTGCGGGGGCGGGGCACCGCGCTCCTGATCCGCAGGCTGGGCCTCGGGCTTAACTGGTGAGGTGCCGGCGCTTGTTGACCGGCCTGCAGGCCTGGATGGTCTCTTTCCCCTTACTTTTCGCTGGCGGCCTGAACTACTCGCGGTTCCTGTGATCGTACGTACCAGTGTGTTTGTCAGAACAAAATCCTCGCCTTCTCCCTTCGGGACGTTCCCCTCCACTCTCTGTATGGTCTCAAGGTTCATTTCCAGCATTCCCTCCTTTTATTTGGAAGTCGACCTTGAGTAGGAATCTGTGAGATAAATAATCTAAGCACCGTTATTCACGAGGTCTTGAGCAGTTGCAGTCAGGCCTGTGGAGACCACCCAGGACAGAGGCAGGATGTACCCTTGAAGCATTGTCAAGAACGGGTGCCTAGACCTGCCCTGCATTCTGGTAGGAACTTGGACCCAGCTAGACTTTCCCCTTACACCAGTTGGCTAGTGGAAAGAGCACCTCTTCTGGCCAGTGTCTTTGGTTATAAGAGTGCAAAGGGAACGCTAGTTTCTTGGCTTCAGGAATCGGGCCCTGCAGGGCAGTCTGATTCAAATTATCTGCCTGCTCCCACTAGGTTAGCTACCCAATAAGCCTGCCCCATTTTGGTGTCTGTGTGTGTGGAAGGCAACACACATTTTCTCTTGTTTTCCAGGTCAATATCCAACGCAGCCAACCTACCCTGTGCAGCCTCCTGGGAACCCAGTGTACCCTCAGACCTTGCATCTTCCTCAGGCTCCCCCCTATACTGATGCTCCACCTGCCTACTCAGAGGTGCTTCCGGTTTTCTAGAATTGAACTAAATATAAATACTCTTGGAATCACATTTTCAGTCTTGTGCTAAGTCTGACTCCACATATTTACACTTCACAAACAGGAGTGTTCACATGAACAATCTAAAACACTGTTACAGTTCAGCAATTTCTGGTTGGGTTGAGGATGCATTATCTGATTATTTTATGTTATTTGGCACAGGCTGAGGTTCAGAAGATGAGTTTGCATTTGTTGAGGCTAACATTAGCTATTGTAGGACCTGATCTAGGAGACAGTTGAGTGGCAATGGAAAGGCAACTTGTGTAATTCAAGAGTCTGATTTACAGAATGAATTGATTCATTGAAGAGATCTGAAATAGGAATGTCATAATGTAACACATTACCTTCTCTTCTGCCTCCTCTAGCTCTATCGTCCAAGCTTTGTGCACCCAGGGGCTGCCACAGTCCCCACCATGTCAGCTGCATTTCCTGGTGCCTCACTGTATCTTCCCATGGCCCAATCTGTGGCTGTTGGACCTTTAGGTTCCACAATCCCCATGGCTTATTATCCAGTTGGTCCCATATATCCACCTGGCTCAGCAGTGCTGGTGGAAGGAGGGTACGATGCAAGTGCCAGATTTGGAACTGGGGCTACTGCTGGCAACATTCCTGTGAGTATGACCTTGTCAGAAAAAACTCAGCCCTTGTGTATTTTAATTTTCTGAAATGACTATATACTCATCTTTTTACCACCCCTGGATAATAACGGTATTGGTGTTAACTACTGACATCCATTAGTCAGGCAGAAAGCAGTTGAGGGGGCAGAACTGTGTGGCAAGTTAGTAGCATCTGGCACATTCACTGGGGTCTGAGGTAATCAGATTCCTTTGTTTTCCTGTCTGAACAGTCCCGCCTGCTTTTTTATTTCACTTTGGTGCTGGTCTAATAACATTCCTTAAGTATTTACTTAATATTTGCAATCAGCATGGCTTGTGTCAGGACCACAGTGATTAAAAAAAAGAATGCATAATCCCTATAGTGTTTAGATAGATACTGGGATTTTAGTTGTCTCCTGCTTATTTCCCCTATGCATGGGAATTAAGAGGACCAAAGGATCCCTGCCAGGGCCATCCACTTAATGACCACATGTTAAGAGATGAAGTGAGAATGGTGTCATTAGGTAGCCTTCAGATTACCTAGTAGCCACTTGAAAACTGTCAAGGACCCTGTGATATAGGGCTGTGGACTTGGCACCCCACCCCCATTTTTGGACTGAGTGGGAATGATTTTCTACTCTGAAAATGCCTATGGGTGTGGACTGTCCATGTTCAGAAGGTATCCATAGGCTTACTTTTGCATCTGGAACCCTTGAATGAGTGATAGGTGTCCTTCCCTGTTTGCCACTTTGGGTTTACAGAGAATATAGGCCTGCTTTACAACCCAAATTCGTGGCAGAACTAGCTTTCAGGTGCTGTTGGTTAGCGCATTGCCATCTTCCTGATGGATCCTGTTTCACCTGTGCCCCCTTCCCTTCTACCAGCTGCCCTGTGCCTGATCAACCTTATCTTTTCCTTGCAGCCTCCACCCCCTGGATGCCCTCCCAATGCTGCTCAGCTTGCAGTCATGCAGGGAGCCAATGTCCTCATAACTCAGCGGAAGGGAAACTTCTTCATGGGTGGAACAGATGGTGGTTACACCATCTGGTGAAGAACCGAGGCCACCTCTATGCCGGGAAAGACATCACATACCTTCAGCACTTCTCACAATGTAACTGCTTTAGTCATATTAACCTGAAGTTGCAGTTTAGACACATGTTGTTGGGGTGTCTTTCTGGTGCCCAAACTTTCAGGCACTTTTCAAACTTAATAAGGAACCAAGTTATGGTAGCAGTACCTCCCTAAAGCATTTTGAGGTAGGGGAGGTATCCATTCATAAAATGAATGTGGGTGAAGCAGCCCTAAGGATCTTCCTTTAATTCCTCCGGAGTAATACTGTACCATACTGGTGTTTGCTTTTAGTAATAAAACATCAAATTAGGTTTGGAGGGAACTTTGATCTTCCTAAGAATTAAAGTTGCCAAATTATTCTGATTGGTCTTTAATCTCCTTTAAGTCTTTGATTTATATTACTTGGTATAAATGAAACGCATTAGTCGTCTGCCTTTTCCTTTGCATCCTTTGCCCCATGCCCCACCCTCAACCCATCTTGTATTCCTTTCTACCAATCTCCATTGAATCAATGGTGCAGGACAGAAAGCCAGTCAGACTAATTTCCTTCTCTCCTTGCACTTGTTCCCACTTGTCATCTTTTAACTAGTCTTTCACAAGGATCCTCTGAAACCCCCTGTGCGCCCCAAGGACAGACCCCATTACTTCTGCTTTTGCATCTCCTCAGGCAAAAGTGGAGGGTGCCTCTTGGACCCTCCTCATAGGTTGTCTCAATATATGAATCAAACCCAAATTTGCTTTGGTGCCAGAAAAAACAGCTTTGTTAGAACAAAGGATACCAGTGCAAGCTGTACTGTAAACAGCAGTTTGGTTTAAAATGTGAGGGCAAAGAGGGAGGATACATTTCAAAAGCTAATGACTTTAGAGTCAAATTAAGGGGAGTTTCAGATGAAAAATTGGTTACCATTTGTTGTCATTGTCTGATGCAGCCACTGGTGGCTCCCAAGAATTCCTAAGCTGGGTTAATGGGGTCATATTGTGAATGCCTCACTACAGAATGACTTGAGTCCAGTGAAATCTCATTAGGGTTAAGTATATTTCAGGGATCCTTAATATTTTGATTGTTTTTGGAAATTGGGTTTTATTTTATAATTTCAGTTCATCTAAATTTTGTGTTCTGTACATGTGATGTTTGACTGTACCATTGACTGTTATGGAAGTTCAGCGTTGTATGTCTCTCTCTACACTGTGGTGCACTTAACTTGTGGATTTTTTATACTAAAAATGTAGAATAAAGACTATTTTGAAGATTTGAATAAAGTGATGAAGTTGCATTACACCTCACTTCAAGGATTCTTTACTCAGCTTGTCTTCAGGTTTCTTCCAATACATGTTTTATATCCACCTAGACTTCGGATAGGTACTGTTGTTACTGTGTTTAATGAAGCCTTTGAAATAAATGCAGGATGACAAGGCTAAGATTTGACCCATTTTCACAAGTTCCATTCTAGATGTTTAACTTCATTTTACTAAGTGTTCACATTCTTAAAAGCCTATTATGCCAGAAGAATTCAGAACATAAACTCAGAAAAAAGGGAATGACTGATCTCTTGCCCTACAGTTTGATTTGAGAAAAATGTTTTAGTATAAAATTTGTGTGTGGAGAAATACTGAAAACTGGAATCTAAGCTGCCAAGATTGATTCCTCAACTCTTGGGTGGACTTGAGCCTGGACAATGTTAGCAATACATTTAAGACCTTAAAGGAGATTCAGGATAATTCTGACGTAAACAATATCTGGGGAGCTAATGATTTCTACCAAAACACTGCTTTTTAAAAATACCTCATTTTGAGACTAAGATCCAAGAAGCTTCTCTGGGCTTGATTCACAGGACACTGGTAGGGAAAGTGGGAGGTAGACTGCTCCTGGTTTTCCCTGTGTACACATAAAATGGCCCTGGGAAATTCTGGCCCCTGCCAGGATGGAGGCTAAACCAATTCATCTTCCAGTATGTATTTCCAAAGATACTTCTCTGGGACAACTTTTCCAGGACCATCTTTCTCTTAAATCCCGGAGCCTTCTAGAACTTCCAAAACATCCCTAGAGTTCTTTCTACTGGGGAGAATATACGCAAAGGAAGTAAATAAGCAAAAGAAAAATGTTCAAAAGGTTTTAAGCACGGGTTAAGTCAACATGTAAAGGTAGTTATTTCTTGCACAGGAGAATGCAGTTATCAGTAACAATTTTTAATGATGATAAAAACAGCACAGGTATGAGGTCATTGGAGAGTATGAGGGGCTCAGATTAATACGGGTTGCAGCACATTGATCAGGAGGTGAGGTCTCCACAGTCTCCCGCCCCCTTGCTTGGTTTTCTACTGTGGTATCCAGCATCTGGGAAGATCTGTGGACACTCTCCACTCAGGCGGCCACTAGGTGACCCTAACCTTCCCTTTGACCTGTGAAGAAAGTGAAGATGACTGGGCACGTACTCAAATACTGCCTGATACAGCTTCACTTGTCAGCCAGTCTCAAACAGTGGCTGTGTCACAAAGGTCTAAAGACATAAGCAGCTTTCTCCATGTTCCTGGTCCCTGGCATCAGTAATTTTGGCATTTGGGCCTGTGTCCTAGAAGAAGCTCAGATTCTCCATGTCAATCAAAGCTGCTCACTACTTTCAAATAAAACTTTCACCTAATAAATAAAATGGTGTTAGCACTGGAGCCTGGAGATACTCATTGGGGCCGGGAATCATTAGATGAAATATTCCTCCTTCTCCCTGCCCTTGGCTGAGTCACTCTCCATCTGGAGGATGGCACCGGGCTCGCCTTCTGCAGGTTCGTAGGTGACATAGCTGCCTTTGTTCTTGTACAGGTAAAAGAAGATCAAGATCACGACTGACAGCAGGGTGAGGAAGACCACGGTGATAACAACTTGGAAAGGAGAGGGAAAAAGCAGAGATGTTTCAGGATTGAGGACGTCTCAGTAATTCATGGGGCCCCCTGAATCAGATGATTCCCTCAATTTTCATAAGGATCTTCCTTTTCTAGTTTACTAGTGTCAACTTCCAAATCCATATTCCCGCACCAAGCCCAGCTTCCACGGTGCATGTCATCAGGAGACTCTTGATGTTTAAGTTAAGACATGAAGCTTTTGATTTCGGACAAAATGAACCCTGCCTCAACCATTTCCTGATGATTATGATAGAGATAGGCAGGAGGGAAACAGGAAATAGCTTATCCCAACAGGAAGGGTTTTTAAATCCATAGCCTCCTGTAGGAGTTGCTCTGATCCCTCCCATCCTCTTCACTCAAACCACACGTGTCCCCTCTTCTACTCCCCTACCCACATACTAGAGTGTGGTGCCCATGTGCACCTACCATCTATGTGTGGGCACCTNGTTTTTTTAGGAACCTCCATACTGCTTTCCACAGCAGCTGCACCAATCGACATTCCCACCAACAGTGTAGGAGGGTTCCCATTTCCCAAATCCTCACCAAGACTTGTTATTTCTTGTCTTTTGGCTAGTAGCCGTTCTGACTGGTGTGAGGTGATAGCTCATAGTGGTTTTGATGTGCATTCCCCTGATGATTAGCAATGTGGAGCATCTTTTCATGTGCTTGGTGGCTATCTGTATTTTTTTTTTGGATAAATACAGGTCTTCTGCCCATTTTTTAATTGGATTATTTATTTTGGTGTTAAGGCATATGAGCTCTTCATATAATTTGGATGTTAACTCCTTATCAGATAAATGGTTTACAAATATATTCTCCCATACTGTACCAACCCTTCCCTTTCTCTTGGTAATGTTACCTGGCTCTGCCTGGCTTGCGCTATGCCCAGGTCCCAGGGTGAGAGGCAAAATACCTAATGTCCTGTAGAGGAGGCCCTGGCCAATCTGCGGGCAGTTTGCCATAGCTGGAGGTGGGTCCTGGAGGCTTCCTGGGTGTCAAGAGTTAACCCTAATCTCTGGACCAAGGAGAGATCCTGGCCGGGGGAAGGAGTGTCCAGTGGAGGGCTAGAGCAGAGCAGGGTACTTGGGGAGAGGGCTTGGGGTAATGGCTTTTTACCATCCAGTAGAAGTATTTGTATTTTCAACATCTGGTAGGGCCAGACCAGAATTTACAGCCTGATGATCAGTTCTGCCACTTCCTCTCTGTTCTTCCCATGCTTCTCTTTGATCTTTTCCTTTTCTAAAACAGTTTAGATTTAGAGCTGGAGGTGACATAAGGACTGTGTGACTTTTTGGCAGATGATGAAACTGATAGCCTTGGGAGGCAACAGATTAAAAACAATGTAAACAGATTAAAAATGCCTGCGTAGTCAAAGCAAACCTGAGTTTGAACACTGGCTCTGCAGCTGTGTTACTTAGTTCAGCTACTTAACCTCTCTGAAATGCAGTTCTCTTACCTGCACCTTTCCTCAGAGTCTGCTCAAGACATTAAATGGGTATCTGTAAGGTAACTGGTGCAGTCTATGATCCATACATAGTAGGGAATAAATAGGAGCTGAATGGATGAGGACCAAAGTCAGCTAGCTGGTGACAGCCCAGAATCAGTGTCTAGATTTAGGGTCCACCTCCTACACTCATTGACATGGACTGCTATAGTCAACACAATTTCAGAGTCCCTAACTGAGGACCCAAAAAGAGAAATACAGGAAGTTTCCTTTCTTAGATTCACTTCTTTATTTGCTGAGGTCCTGAGCAGAAATTCCCCAGGGTTTGGGTTGGGATAGATTAGTGACCTCTCCAGTTTCAGGCTTTGGGATGGAATCAGTTTAGGATCTCTTTTGAGACAGTTTGGATGCAGGAAAGAAGACTTGCCTGATCTGACCTCCAAGGATTTATTCATTCATTTACTCACCAATTACTGATTGCATACCTCATGCAAAAAGAAATGTATAAGGGCCTGGGGATAAAAATTTATTAAAAAAACCTTATTTTTCAAACTGAGGGTCCTGACTTGTTAGTGGGATATGAAATCACAATCAGAATTGAAAAAAATAAATAGAAGAGAATAGAGAATACTACAGCACATTGTAAACAGAAGGACAAGTATTAGATCAGTAAAGTTATATATGCTTATAAATGTGTGGGCTGGGTCATAATCTGAAGTGCAATACTGTGGATTTTGGAGAAAAAAGTTTGCAAGCCTCTGCACTAAAAAGTGAGCTTCAAAAGCGAGGTCTTTGTTTTGTTTTAGAACAATGCCTAGCGTTTGTCAGTATTCTACAAATGAGTGAAATGTCTAATACTGTGTTGCCTTCAAGAAGATTAGAGTCAGAAATACAAGAAAAGGTAAATAACATAGGCTTAATAGTATTTATAATAACACTATTATATAACAACATATAATAATGATAATATAACAATACTATTGTAATACTGGTCTTAAAGTTTGAACCAAATTAATAATGTGAATATAAAGGGAAGAAAACCTAAAAGAACTCCAAAGACAAACAGTCCTGGAAATTGGACTTTTGAAGTATTTTAGTCATTATAGGCAGTGTGAAGTGGTAAGAACAAAACAAAAACAGACTTGGGAACCTGGGGCAAGGACACAAGACCTGATTCTGGACAAATCTCTTTACTCAATTCTCTCTTTTGAAAAACAGGAATGCTCAAATAAGCCCTGTCTCCACACAGGGTTCTTGTGAAGACCTCAGAAAAAAAGGGCATTTTAAGAGCGCTTTGCAAACTGTGATACAATACTGGAGATGAAAGCAAGCGATTCCTGAGTTGGAGTGAGTGGAGGTCTTTTTAGTGGCTTAATTAATAGGCAGATATTTATAAGGCTTCTATTTGTTTACTGAGGACTTTTATTTCCAAAACTTTCCCTTTCAGATGTTTTTCTAATATCCTTACTACAAGATAGAAGGTAAACTCCATGAGAGAGTAGTGTCGGGCTGTTTTGTTCAGCTCCATCTCTCTATATATAGCACGTACTCGGTAGATATTTTAAAATGAAGGATGAAATGAAAAACTTAATTGCTGCCTTCAGGATGACATCTTCGCTCTTAAGAACAGTTAGAGGCAAAGCGACACAGAAAGGAATATACACAAAGCACCACACAGGTAACCTGTAACAGGTGCCAAAGGAAGAGCAGGGTCACAAGCACTCTCTGGATACCGAGTGTGCCCGTTTTAGTAATAGCATGGCCCTCCCTTTTGGTGATAAAGACAGCGACACAGAAGTAAATACCTAGACCCTGTCGGTGGAACAGACAAGGCAGAAAAGATTCGAGCGATGGTCTAATTCAGAACAGGGCAGATATAAGCTGGACTGGTAAAATACATCTTTGTGGAGCTGAGGCTTGTGTTGGGTTTGGCAGAAGGGGAACTTGATAGATCAAGACTGGGTGCGCATTCCAGGCAGAGAAATTTGTAGAAATCTATGCTCCTCCTTGGATGGTTAAGGTGAGGTGACCTTGAGTCGATGCGTGCAGATAGAAAATGATTTCGGGGAAGAGTTTAATGCTTCTGCTTCCGCGTGCCCAAGAGAGAAAAAATTTTGTTTAAAGACAATTACCTGCATTTGGTTTACTTCCAGTTGAGGGACAGGAGCGGGGTAGGTGGACACGACCCAGCGGGAGGAGCCAACGCGAGTGGGCGGGATCATGCGGGCCTTCCCTACAGCTACTGGAGGCCCGGCAAAGGGGCGGTGTTTCCGGTTGTGGCGGCACTCAGGCGTCGGGTGACGCTAGGCGCACGACTCGTCACGTGACACGGAAGTGACTACGAACAGGAAGAGGACGAAAAAAATAACCGTCCGCGACGCCCAGCCGAACCGGACCCGCAGCCACCATGAACAGCAAAGGCAAGGACAGGGAGCGGCAGAGGCCGTCGTGGGGAGTACTGCTGGTCCGGAGCGAGCGAGCCCGGGATTCAGGGTCACCGAATGCCAGGTTTGGGGAGAGCTGCGCCGCGCTCCTGGGCCATCTGCAGTCCTGGGGCCTGCGCCAGACGCCTTCGTCATCCCCGAACTACGGCTGCTCGCTCCCTCCCTCCCGGCCCTTTCCCCCTTAAACTCTGTGGCGCAGTTTGGAGCTGCAGGCTCGGGGTTGGGGGGTGGGGGGTGGGGGGGGAAACCCTTCTCATGATGGACATCTGCGGGAGCAAATGGAGAGCTAGAGTAGGGATTTGGGCAGGCCAATGGAGAGCTTGCGGGGGCGGGGCACCGCGCTCCTGATCCGCAGGCTGGGCCTCGGGCTTAACTGGTGAGGTGCCGGCGCTTGTTGACCGGCCTGCAGGCCTGGATGGTCTCTTTCCCCTTACTTTTCGCTGGCGGCCTGAACTACTCGCGGTTCCTGTGATCGTACGTACCAGTGTGTTTGTCAGAACAAAATCCTCGCCTTCTCCCTTCGGGACGTTCCCCTCCACTCTCTGTATGGTCTCAAGGTTCATTTCCAGCATTCCCTCCTTTTATTTGGAAGTCGACCTTGAGTAGGAATCTGTGAGATAAATAATCTAAGCACCGTTATTCACGAGGTCTTGAGCAGTTGCAGTCAGGCCTGTGGAGACCACCCAGGACAGAGGCAGGATGTACCCTTGAAGCATTGTCAAGAACGGGTGCCTAGACCTGCCCTGCATTCTGGTAGGAACTTGGACCCAGCTAGACTTTCCCCTTACACCAGTTGGCTAGTGGAAAGAGCACCTCTTCTGGCCAGTGTCTTTGGTTATAAGAGTGCAAAGGGAACGCTAGTTTCTTGGCTTCAGGAATCGGGCCCTGCAGGGCAGTCTGATTCAAATTATCTGCCTGCTCCCACTAGGTTAGCTACCCAATAAGCCTGCCCCATTTTGGTGTCTGTGTGTGTGGAAGGCAACACACATTTTCTCTTGTTTTCCAGGTCAATATCCAACGCAGCCAACCTACCCTGTGCAGCCTCCTGGGAACCCAGTGTACCCTCAGACCTTGCATCTTCCTCAGGCTCCCCCCTATACTGATGCTCCACCTGCCTACTCAGAGGTGCTTCCGGTTTTCTAGAATTGAACTAAATATAAATACTCTTGGAATCACATTTTCAGTCTTGTGCTAAGTCTGACTCCACATATTTACACTTCACAAACAGGAGTGTTCACATGAACAATCTAAAACACTGTTACAGTTCAGCAATTTCTGGTTGGGTTGAGGATGCATTATCTGATTATTTTATGTTATTTGGCACAGGCTGAGGTTCAGAAGATGAGTTTGCATTTGTTGAGGCTAACATTAGCTATTGTAGGACCTGATCTAGGAGACAGTTGAGTGGCAATGGAAAGGCAACTTGTGTAATTCAAGAGTCTGATTTACAGAATGAATTGATTCATTGAAGAGATCTGAAATAGGAATGTCATAATGTAACACATTACCTTCTCTTCTGCCTCCTCTAGCTCTATCGTCCAAGCTTTGTGCACCCAGGGGCTGCCACAGTCCCCACCATGTCAGCTGCATTTCCTGGTGCCTCACTGTATCTTCCCATGGCCCAATCTGTGGCTGTTGGACCTTTAGGTTCCACAATCCCCATGGCTTATTATCCAGTTGGTCCCATATATCCACCTGGCTCAGCAGTGCTGGTGGAAGGAGGGTACGATGCAAGTGCCAGATTTGGAACTGGGGCTACTGCTGGCAACATTCCTGTGAGTATGACCTTGTCAGAAAAAACTCAGCCCTTGTGTATTTTAATTTTCTGAAATGACTATATACTCATCTTTTTACCACCCCTGGATAATAACGGTATTGGTGTTAACTACTGACATCCATTAGTCAGGCAGAAAGCAGTTGAGGGGGCAGAACTGTGTGGCAAGTTAGTAGCATCTGGCACATTCACTGGGGTCTGAGGTAATCAGATTCCTTTGTTTTCCTGTCTGAACAGTCCCGCCTGCTTTTTTATTTCACTTTGGTGCTGGTCTAATAACATTCCTTAAGTATTTACTTAATATTTGCAATCAGCATGGCTTGTGTCAGGACCACAGTGATTAAAAAAAAGAATGCATAATCCCTATAGTGTTTAGATAGATACTGGGATTTTAGTTGTCTCCTGCTTATTTCCCCTATGCATGGGAATTAAGAGGACCAAAGGATCCCTGCCAGGGCCATCCACTTAATGACCACATGTTAAGAGATGAAGTGAGAATGGTGTCATTAGGTAGCCTTCAGATTACCTAGTAGCCACTTGAAAACTGTCAAGGACCCTGTGATATAGGGCTGTGGACTTGGCACCCCACCCCCATTTTTGGACTGAGTGGGAATGATTTTCTACTCTGAAAATGCCTATGGGTGTGGACTGTCCATGTTCAGAAGGTATCCATAGGCTTACTTTTGCATCTGGAACCCTTGAATGAGTGATAGGTGTCCTTCCCTGTTTGCCACTTTGGGTTTACAGAGAATATAGGCCTGCTTTACAACCCAAATTCGTGGCAGAACTAGCTTTCAGGTGCTGTTGGTTAGCGCATTGCCATCTTCCTGATGGATCCTGTTTCACCTGTGCCCCCTTCCCTTCTACCAGCTGCCCTGTGCCTGATCAACCTTATCTTTTCCTTGCAGCCTCCACCCCCTGGATGCCCTCCCAATGCTGCTCAGCTTGCAGTCATGCAGGGAGCCAATGTCCTCATAACTCAGCGGAAGGGAAACTTCTTCATGGGTGGAACAGATGGTGGTTACACCATCTGGTGAAGAACCGAGGCCACCTCTATGCCGGGAAAGACATCACATACCTTCAGCACTTCTCACAATGTAACTGCTTTAGTCATATTAACCTGAAGTTGCAGTTTAGACACATGTTGTTGGGGTGTCTTTCTGGTGCCCAAACTTTCAGGCACTTTTCAAACTTAATAAGGAACCAAGTTATGGTAGCAGTACCTCCCTAAAGCATTTTGAGGTAGGGGAGGTATCCATTCATAAAATGAATGTGGGTGAAGCAGCCCTAAGGATCTTCCTTTAATTCCTCCGGAGTAATACTGTACCATACTGGTGTTTGCTTTTAGTAATAAAACATCAAATTAGGTTTGGAGGGAACTTTGATCTTCCTAAGAATTAAAGTTGCCAAATTATTCTGATTGGTCTTTAATCTCCTTTAAGTCTTTGATTTATATTACTTGGTATAAATGAAACGCATTAGTCGTCTGCCTTTTCCTTTGCATCCTTTGCCCCATGCCCCACCCTCAACCCATCTTGTATTCCTTTCTACCAATCTCCATTGAATCAATGGTGCAGGACAGAAAGCCAGTCAGACTAATTTCCTTCTCTCCTTGCACTTGTTCCCACTTGTCATCTTTTAACTAGTCTTTCACAAGGATCCTCTGAAACCCCCTGTGCGCCCCAAGGACAGACCCCATTACTTCTGCTTTTGCATCTCCTCAGGCAAAAGTGGAGGGTGCCTCTTGGACCCTCCTCATAGGTTGTCTCAATATATGAATCAAACCCAAATTTGCTTTGGTGCCAGAAAAAACAGCTTTGTTAGAACAAAGGATACCAGTGCAAGCTGTACTGTAAACAGCAGTTTGGTTTAAAATGTGAGGGCAAAGAGGGAGGATACATTTCAAAAGCTAATGACTTTAGAGTCAAATTAAGGGGAGTTTCAGATGAAAAATTGGTTACCATTTGTTGTCATTGTCTGATGCAGCCACTGGTGGCTCCCAAGAATTCCTAAGCTGGGTTAATGGGGTCATATTGTGAATGCCTCACTACAGAATGACTTGAGTCCAGTGAAATCTCATTAGGGTTAAGTATATTTCAGGGATCCTTAATATTTTGATTGTTTTTGGAAATTGGGTTTTATTTTATAATTTCAGTTCATCTAAATTTTGTGTTCTGTACATGTGATGTTTGACTGTACCATTGACTGTTATGGAAGTTCAGCGTTGTATGTCTCTCTCTACACTGTGGTGCACTTAACTTGTGGATTTTTTATACTAAAAATGTAGAATAAAGACTATTTTGAAGATTTGAATAAAGTGATGAAGTTGCATTACACCTCACTTCAAGGATTCTTTACTCAGCTTGTCTTCAGGTTTCTTCCAATACATGTTTTATATCCACCTAGACTTCGGATAGGTACTGTTGTTACTGTGTTTAATGAAGCCTTTGAAATAAATGCAGGATGACAAGGCTAAGATTTGACCCATTTTCACAAGTTCCATTCTAGATGTTTAACTTCATTTTACTAAGTGTTCACATTCTTAAAAGCCTATTATGCCAGAAGAATTCAGAACATAAACTCAGAAAAAAGGGAATGACTGATCTCTTGCCCTACAGTTTGATTTGAGAAAAATGTTTTAGTATAAAATTTGTGTGTGGAGAAATACTGAAAACTGGAATCTAAGCTGCCAAGATTGATTCCTCAACTCTTGGGTGGACTTGAGCCTGGACAATGTTAGCAATACATTTAAGACCTTAAAGGAGATTCAGGATAATTCTGACGTAAACAATATCTGGGGAGCTAATGATTTCTACCAAAACACTGCTTTTTAAAAATACCTCATTTTGAGACTAAGATCCAAGAAGCTTCTCTGGGCTTGATTCACAGGACACTGGTAGGGAAAGTGGGAGGTAGACTGCTCCTGGTTTTCCCTGTGTACACATAAAATGGCCCTGGGAAATTCTGGCCCCTGCCAGGATGGAGGCTAAACCAATTCATCTTCCAGTATGTATTTCCAAAGATACTTCTCTGGGACAACTTTTCCAGGACCATCTTTCTCTTAAATCCCGGAGCCTTCTAGAACTTCCAAAACATCCCTAGAGTTCTTTCTACTGGGGAGAATATACGCAAAGGAAGTAAATAAGCAAAAGAAAAATGTTCAAAAGGTTTTAAGCACGGGTTAAGTCAACATGTAAAGGTAGTTATTTCTTGCACAGGAGAATGCAGTTATCAGTAACAATTTTTAATGATGATAAAAACAGCACAGGTATGAGGTCATTGGAGAGTATGAGGGGCTCAGATTAATACGGGTTGCAGCACATTGATCAGGAGGTGAGGTCTCCACAGTCTCCCGCCCCCTTGCTTGGTTTTCTACTGTGGTATCCAGCATCTGGGAAGATCTGTGGACACTCTCCACTCAGGCGGCCACTAGGTGACCCTAACCTTCCCTTTGACCTGTGAAGAAAGTGAAGATGACTGGGCACGTACTCAAATACTGCCTGATACAGCTTCACTTGTCAGCCAGTCTCAAACAGTGGCTGTGTCACAAAGGTCTAAAGACATAAGCAGCTTTCTCCATGTTCCTGGTCCCTGGCATCAGTAATTTTGGCATTTGGGCCTGTGTCCTAGAAGAAGCTCAGATTCTCCATGTCAATCAAAGCTGCTCACTACTTTCAAATAAAACTTTCACCTAATAAATAAAATGGTGTTAGCACTGGAGCCTGGAGATACTCATTGGGGCCGGGAATCATTAGATGAAATATTCCTCCTTCTCCCTGCCCTTGGCTGAGTCACTCTCCATCTGGAGGATGGCACCGGGCTCGCCTTCTGCAGGTTCGTAGGTGACATAGCTGCCTTTGTTCTTGTACAGGTAAAAGAAGATCAAGATCACGACTGACAGCAGGGTGAGGAAGACCACGGTGATAACAACTTGGAAAGGAGAGGGAAAAAGCAGAGATGTTTCAGGATTGAGGACGTCTCAGTAATTCATGGGGCCCCCTGAATCAGATGATTCCCTCAATTTTCATAAGGATCTTCCTTTTCTAGTTTACTAGTGTCAACTTCCAAATCCATATTCCCGCACCAAGCCCAGCTTCCACGGTGCATGTCATCAGGAGACTCTTGATGTTTAAGTTAAGACATGAAGCTTTTGATTTCGGACAAAATGAACCCTGCCTCAACCATTTCCTGATGATTATGATAGAGATAGGCAGGAGGGAAACAGGAAATAGCTTATCCCAACAGGAAGGGTTTTTAAATCCATAGCCTCCTGTAGGAGTTGCTCTGATCCCTCCCATCCTCTTCACTCAAACCACACGTGTCCCCTCTTCTACTCCCCTACCCACATACTAGAGTGTGGTGCCCATGTGCACCTACCATCTATGTGTGGGCACCTCCTGACCAATCATTTGCAGGCAGTGCCTCTGACATAAAGCCTCTAAGAATCTTTTATAGCCTCTGGTGTGTGTGTGTGCTTTCCTATATAGGGAAAATCCTAGTTCACCACACTGGGCTTCTGGCTGTGGAGTGAGACAGCTCTGACCTCAGAAGGCTCCCTGGATTGGGCTCAGAGCCTTCATTACCTGCAATGAGGGCCGTGCTGGCTTCGGCTTCTGGGGACGGGGCCTCAGTGACCTGCAGAATTGTGATCATCAATGCTTCTGGAAAATTCAGGAAAGTGGAAAGGAAATGGGGTGAATTCTTTTGTTCTAAAACATGTTTGTCCTTCAAATTTCTCTACCCTACTTTCCCTATTCAAAATTTATCATTCACTCTCTACAGTAAATCTGTATTTAAAAACCCACAGAATAGAAGAGAAAATACTTCTATTTCCTCTGCTAAAAAACCATCCAAAGACAATGAGCATTTTGATGAGTTTATTCTCTCTGCCCAATTTTGTGGCTTAAGAGTATGGGCTCTAGAGTCTGACTGATGAGGTTCAGGTCTGAGTTCTGTCCTCTACTAGCTGTGTGACCTTCAGAAAGTTACCTAACCTCTCCTGGGCATCAGCTTCCTTATCTGCAGAATGGAGATAATAGTACCTACTTTACAGGGTTGTAAGACATATAGTAAGTAACTCCATAAGGGTAAGCTATTACTATATAACACATAAACGAGACCAGATGATGAGTGTATATACACATATATATATTTATATTGTATGGTACATGTCTTTCTTCCCTGTTCTTAAAAACTCTTTGTAAACATTTTAAAATAATGAAAGAATGCTCCTCCCTTATTAAAACCCTTTTTTAAACTTTAGGATAGGCCCTGCAATTGAAAACTTCTGGAGCAAGGCCTCTCCTACCCTAAAATGTACCTCACACCTGAAGTCTCACCCCTGAAGTCACTATGCAGGGTCAGAATACTACAAAACTGGAGTCTCCAGAAGTCTTTTTTAAGTGTTGGCAAGGGAAGTCAGAAGCCCTTCAGTTCTCTCCAAGTTGGCATTTTAGTGTAGGGTTTGAAAGGTAGCAATTAAGTTAAAGTTACTGCAGGGCAGAGGTGTCCTGGGAAAACCAGGCTGATGGACTCTGGAATCACCCAGAGGACACAACTCCATTTTCATTCATTAAATACTAGCAGCACTCATAAACTGCCTACTCTGTGCCAGGCACTGTGCTATGTACACTGGGGATATAATGGTGAGCAAAACAGATGCAGCCTGCCATCATCGAGCTTACCTCCAACCCTCCATGGTTCACAGTCATGAACTGTGACACAGGCCACAAAAGAAACATCTGGGAACATAGGAGAGCATGTGGTAGAGGGGCCTGGCCTGGTTTGCCAGTAGGAACAGGCTTTCCAGGAAGTAAGATTTGAGCTGGGAGTTGAAGCAGGGGTAGGAGTTTACAGGGTAAAAGGGACAGGTGGATACATTCTAGACAGAGAGAAGAGCCTGGGTCAAAGCTCTGGGACCAGAGGACTCAGAGGTTAGTGTGGCTGGAGCATAGCACATGAGCATCCTTCCTGTCCAGTGCCTGATACGTTCAGGTTTCCACATAGGACAAGTGAAATTAAATCACCAGCAGTACTCTCGTGAGCCTGGGAGAAGAGCTAAGAAGGGCCAGCAGTGTTGAGGGGTCTTTTCACACGGACCAAGCAGAGGCCTGATGAACTGCAGAGGTGGGTTGCCTAGAGGGCCTCCCCTCGCAAGGCAGGACCAAATCCATCTCCATCTTCAGCACTTTTTCCTTAGGACTGAGCTACTTTGTGATCTTGGCAAATGGTTACATCTCTTGATTCATTCATGCTTTCTCCATGGCTACTGATGGGCATTGTATTAACCAACTTTGCAGGGCTACTGTGAAGATTAAATGAGAGAACATGTAGGCATTATACAGTAACTACTACTTATATTATTTAAGCTGACTTTATCTATGTTTAGTGATTAATCAGCTGCTCTAGGTTTGAATCTTGTGCCAGCATGCATATTAACAGGTGATCTTAAGGAAGTGATACTTCTCTGAGCCTCAGTTTCTTGATTTGTAAAATGGGAGTGTGGTAGGCAGCTTCTAAGATGGATCCTCCCTTCTGGTATTCACACCCTGTGTAATTCACATGGAGGGGCTATCTAGGTGGGCTGAACCCTGTGACTTGCTTCTAACAAACAGAATTTTGCAAAAGTATAGGATGCTACTTCTGAGATTACATGGTGCCGTCCATCAAAGAGAAGCCCTGCAGTTTACCCACCTGATCACTGCCTTGAACTGCTGCCCCTCACCATACACACTTTCCTCCCAAGACCTCCTGGGGCTGCCTTCCATCTTCCCACCACTGGTCTAGAATTCTGTACAGTTGCTCTTAGTTTTACCTTTCTTAAACATCTGAGAACTTAAGATTTACAAGACAATGAGAATAATTTATGTACAGAAGCTTAAATATGAAGATGAGTAAGACTCAGTTCTATCAATCAACAACCATTTGCTTTGCACCTTCCACATGTCAGAGGTACTGTCACAGATGCTGGGAAGGCAGCAGTGAGGAGGTCAGCCAGGGACCTGACGACAACCGAGCTGAATTTCAGTGAGGGTTCAGAGACAGATGTATGACTCCCAGGGAAGAGTCTGGGAGGGAAGATAGTTCCTGGTAGGGAAGTTCTGCAAAGATCCCAGGGATAACAGCTGCCATTTACTAAGTCCCTGCTTCCAGGTGGGTGCTTTAGATACATTAATTATTCATCCTTACAGCACTGGTTAACTCCAGAGTGGGCGTTTTTATTTGCTAATGTGGACCCTGACACCCAGGGAGAGTTAAGTGTCCTGCCTCTTTTACACAGGAAGGAACAGCAGGTCTTACCTCTGTCCTTTTTTTTTTTTTTTTCCAACAAGGGGAAGGAGGAGGTAATGAAAGATAACAAGCTTTCCAAAAAGTTCCAGGGTTTAAAAGATATGGATAAAGGCAGAAGAAAAATCAGATGACCACGATCAAATACAGACTGCTGTGTTACCAAGAGAGTGCCTCTAACATGAACTCGCTCAAAGGCGGTTGGTAAGTAGAGAATGTTATCAGTCTAATGCGGAAGTCATGTCCGTTCATTGCAACTTCCCCAGCCTTAATGTTTGATGTGATCTGAGGCAAGCTTCCTACAACTACAGAGAACACTTCAGCAATATAGAAAGACCTTAAGAAACATAAAATTCAATAGAAGTGCCTTCCTTGGATGCAGTTATTGGTTGATTTTATATTAAGGCATCCGTGAAGCAGGAAGTACAAAAAAAAGAGGTGCAAAGAAATTTATCTCTATGTGAAAACAGTGGATTAATGACGAAGGCAGATTCTACATCAGATTTTTATTTGTGATGAAAATTGGCCTCCATTGGAAGTGAAGGCTCACTGGAATCTACTTATAAAAGGAGGAAGCACACATCCCAGGGCACAGCAGGAAAAGGAGTGACAGGGATTGAGGTTCAAATGCTGGTGGAGATTTAACTGCCAATATTTTAATTGAGACTGTTGTTATACTTTTAGGGTTCTTGTTACAAACTTTCAGAAATTCTGAATGGCCTGCCCCAATCCTATTTTTCCTATAGCCCAGTTTCAGTAATGTGACTTCAGAATATGAGGCTTTAAAAAAATGTACATAAGAGTTTTATAGCATAAATGCCTATATCAGAAGCTGTCCAAGACTTAGAAGAGTAGTGCCAGGAAGCTCTATGTAGCTCAACTTGGCAAAAAAATGTGAAGGACAATTTACAAAGAGTTACATACAGAGCAAGAACAGGGATAGGTCTGAAGGCGTCAGGTTGGATATAATAGAGAAGCAGAATTCCCAAGCCCCTTTGCCTCTGTTGCCTATCAAAGAGAATGATTTTTGCACTAAAAGAGCATCATCAGGAGACTTAGTGATGTGGGGAAGTGAGCTCAAGAGAAGGGACATACCCAGAAAGCACCACGCTACCCTGGTATTCAGATAACTAACAGTCAATGGCCCAGAGCATTCTGGGATACCTATTGGTGATGTAGGGGCTTCTGTAAAAGTAAGTGGGGCCAGGAGCCTGATGGGCCACAGAAAGAAGGTGGGGTTCCATGGTGGAGATTTCAGAGTCAACATTTTCATTGAGATTGTTGTATTTTTAAGGTTCTCACTACAAAGCTGCATAAGTTTTGATTGGCCTGCCCCAACACTCCTTTGTAAGCACTGGTGAGCTTGATGTGGCTCCCAGCAAACAGAACAAGTTGTTAGGGCCTGCTTCGGGGCCCTTGATCTTGAAACACCAAGCATTAGGAGCTAGTATGGGACCACTATGAGCAAGATGGGTCAGACAAGTCACACAACCTTCTTAGATTAAGATTCTAGGTTCATAGACAGGGAAATTAAAAAGTTGATTCAGAAAGAATTTAATGAGTATGGCCTCTGTACCAGGCTCTCTCCTAGGCTCTGGAAACACAATAGGCAAAAATCTAAGCCTTCACAGTTGCTTAAAAAAAGTAAACAGAATTATCATTATGATCCAGCAATTCCCTTTCTGGATATATAGTCCAAAGAAAATGAAAGCAGGGATTTGAACAGATATTTGTACACCAATGTTCACAGCAGCATCACTCACAATAGCTAAAAAATGAAACAACTCAAATGTCCATGAACAGATGAATGAATAAACAAAATGATATATAATACAATGGAATATTACTTAGCCTTAAAAAGGAAGGAAATTCTGACATATGCTATAAAATGGATGAACCTTGGAAGAACCTTGGAAGAACCCTGGAAGTCAAATATGTTAGGCACAAAAGGACACGTATGCTATGAGTCCACTTATATGGGATACCTCTGTCAGTCATAGTCATGGAGATGGACAGAATAGTGGCTACCAGGATGGAGGATGGGGAGTTACTGTTTAACAGGCAGTTTCAGTTTGATGAAAAAGTGCTGGGGATGGATGATGGGGGTGGCTGCAGAACACTGGGAATGTACCTAATGCCACAGAACTGTATTCTTAAAAATTATATATTTTATGTTATGTCTAATTTTAACACACTTAAAAAAAGAAACCCTTTCTTCATACAACTTACATTCTGAGAGGGGGAAGACGGACAATAAACAAAATAAGTTAAACTATATTAATGCTGATGAATGCTACGTAGAAAGAAAAAGCAGGAAGGGGCAGAGGAAGCTGAGGGTGGATGAGGTGGCCAGGGAAAACCTCCCTGATGAGGT